ACTCCTCCGAATAAGTTAATCTTAACCTAGTGAGACCTACTGTGCTGGCTGTGGCTGGCACCTGGAAGAGGCTGAGACTATCTTCTTGAGGCCAATCAGAGATTGCTAAGAAGTTAAGAACTGGAAAAAAGAAAAAAAAGAGTCAGTAAACACTGAAAGTGGCTATGGCTGACACCTAGAAAACATATGGTCACACATCTTTGCACGTGGATTAGCGATTAAAAAGCGACGGTGAACGATTAACGTGAGTGAAGCGGCTCATAGCCGACAAGAACAACTGGCTATGGCTGCCATATCGCTGGAAATGAGGGAGCTATAGCCACAATATGCTGGCTATGGCTGCCATTGACTAGTTGGGTGATTTATTAGTGATACCCCCTGGTACATCCACATGCATCATCAACAAAAAAATTAACTAAATAAATAAATAATTAATAAAAAATAAAAAAAAGATAGTAATAATACTGTAAAAGTCTAAGTACCTGGGCCCTCCGTTCAAACTCCACAGTAGGAAGGCGGTCGACAGTGGCCGGAAAGGTTCGGCGGAACCATCATTAGTTCCGTTGGGACTTGCAACTCAGTTCCGGTGGAACTCAATTCCAGTGCCCCGCCTTAAGGCGGGGCACTAAGTTCAATTTTTTTTGTTCTGCAATTTCCGCTCGTTGTGTTCAGGGGGTTGGTCCCCTCGGGCCCTAACCCGTAAGCGAAACTGGGTAATGGTCCCGGCCTGCGGGTAGACTGCGAGGACCCCGGCCTCGAATTGATATTATGAGGGACGTTGGGCCTGGTTCCCAACATGTGCAGCTCCCCACGAGTAGAAAGGAAGGAGGAACGGTTTTCGGTTAAAAAAAAAGAAAGAAAGAAAAAAAAAACTATGTAATACCAATACACTAAGAATGATGATGATGATGATAAAAATATAGTAATAATACCTAATAATCTAGGCTACCCGAGTGGCCCGGGGTCACTTGCCCGGCCGGGCCAAAAATAAATAAATAAATAAAAATAAAAACAATATTTTTAAACTTTTATTTTTATTTTAAAATTGGTAAAGAATTTCGATGTGACCCTGAGGCAAAAGTTGTTCAGTTTATTTTTCTGCATAACATTTTTTTTTTTTCGGATTTTTTGGGTTTTTGTTTTTTTTGTTTTTTTTGCTGGGAGTCCTTGCACGGGCTGGCCACCCGGGACCCGGGCGGCCCGGCTGGTAGCCTAGCTAATAATTTAATAAATCAATAATAAATTAATAATAATAAGAATCACATATTGCACAGATACCCTTGGAAAGGATTGGAGATTCCTATCCAATCCCTCCCAGCACCTGCTTGCCTAACCAGTCCGCAACAAGAACAACAACAACAACACCATTATATTATTACTAAATGATATACTTGGAATATGTTTTTATTCAATTTGTGCTAAATGCATTTTTTTATTTTGTTTTTTTTAATACAAGCCGGGAACCCGGCCCACCGTCCCTTGACAATGTTGTTGTGCTCCCCCAACGGGACGGCATCACCGGCCGAACCCCGAGGGTTATACTTGGAACATTTTAATATTACGTTATTAACCGATCAATGTTAGTAATAACAACATATATTTTAATATTAGACGATCACTAATCATGACCACCACCACAACAACAAAAATAAAAATCTGATAATAAAAAATATTAAAAATAAAAATTAAGAATTAAGTAATATAATATACTGTTAAAAGAAAAAACAAAACTTCAGAACTCAGAACAGCCAAATTGAGATGGCAATGAACGACAAGACGGTGTCAAGCCAAAGGGCAAAATTATGGAAATATTCTTTAAAAAAAATAATAAAAAACTTGAAAGTATAATAACATACATCGCCGAACAGAATATATATACACAAATGAATGAGTGCAGTGCTCAAGTTGCTTCTCCCTCCTCTTCCTCTGGATTCCTCCTCTCTCTCCATCTTCTCCATGTATCTTCTCCAGCTACTGGCTATGGCTTCTTCCCACTCCTTCACTGCCAAACTCTCTCTCTCTCTCTCTCTCTCTCTCTCTCTCTCTCTCTCTCTCTCTCTCTCTCTCTCTCTCTCTCCCTCCCCCCCCCCCCCYCCCCCCCCCCCCCCCCCCCCCCCCCCCCCATACCCCCCTCGACACAATGTCACAATCTCGAAGCCAATCCTCGTAGACCTTCCTCCCCCGAATAGAACGAATGGTCATTTTTGCTGCATCTGGATTGAAAGATGAATCCAAACACAGCGACAATGTCCACATGTACTAATCGGAGGAAGACAGTACCGCTGGCCAATCCAACACGAGGTGTCGCTCATGCAACAATGCTGACACTTGTCAAGACAATGTCCGTCTTCTGAAGCGGTGAGGAGTATGCAGCAAGTCTCTTTCTTCAATCATCATGACTCTCTTTCCTTTGCCCCCGTCAGCCTGAAGTTCTGGCTATGGCGTCATTCCTTCTTGTCTTTTGTCCTCTTCAATACCATTACCAGACTCTCGTTCTTTCCGCACCCTCAGGCTGAGGCTACGGATATGGAGACCTTCCCTCTCGTCCTTCGACATCTTAATACCAGTGCCAAACTCTCTTTCCTTTGTCACCGTCAGGCTGAAGATATGGCTATGGCGGTCTCTCTCCTCTAGGTCTTCGAGTTTGTCGACACCAATGCCATAGTCTCCGTCCATAGCAAGAATCCGAACCAAATGAAGTCTCGGGAGACGAATGCTGCTCTCTGTCCTCCTCCTGGAGTATTCTGCTTCAGGTAGCTATGGCCGCCAGCCATAGGCAATACAACCAGGAAGCGTCCTCTATGGTGCTAGTGCACTGGCTCAAGCAACAAGTGCAAGGCAGAATGAATGACCAACAGTGGCAGCCATAGCCACAACCCGTAAGCGTGCTCTTCCTTCTCTCCAGGGGCAGGCCAGTCTTTTGTACTTGTTGACATGGGGGCTTGGCCTGCCTCACGTTGCCCTGCTCGACGGGCTGATATTTCTCGATCTGAGCGGGGTAGGGTAGGGTTTGGGGGCGAGGGGGGCGGGAGGGGGGGAAAGAGCATATTTTGTCGCCGCTTGACTGTGCCTTCAATTAGTAGCAGGCTTTGGAAGCTTCCGCAAACAGCTTGCGAATTCCTGGGCCTTTAGATTGAGTGGGAGATCTAACACTGTAGTCTACTCTTCGACAAATCTTCGACTATTTGATGTCTGTGGACCGCGTAGGGCCTGACTGTTGACTTCCCTAGAGAACCCGGGTAGCGACCATAAATTTCAACCCTGACCCCAGGTCCACTCACCTAAACAAAATTTTTGAGACCCCTTTTTGACCCCCATGGATAGACTTTTAACCACCCCCTGAACTTTCTAGAGGACCAGGGTACCTCAAGAATTCGACCCTGACCCCACGTCTACCAACCTAAGAATCTTTTGACGCCCCCTTTCAGAAATCATAGACCTTTAAAAAGAAAAGAAAAAAAAAAAATAGTAAAATACACAGACCTTTTGACCCCCCAGAAGGGCCAGAACCTTTTTTTTTTTTTTTAATTTGGACCATTTCTCGATTTATGCGTGTCATCCTTGCGCAGGGGCCATGCTAATCTTCTCTGTATCGTTCCAATTTTAACGGATGTCCCGAAGGACGGGGCCAGGGCCAGAACCTTCTAATTTGGTGAAAAAGCTACAACCCCCTTAAGACCTTTTGCAACCTACCCCACACCATAATGCGACTCTGTAGCGGTTCTTTTCCCCCCTAACTGTTTTCCAAAGGTCTTTGAAATAGACAAACAGACAGACAGACAGATAGACAGATAGACAGATAGACAGATAGACAGGCAAACAGACATATAGACAGGCAGACAGAGATAGCCAGACAGACAGATAGACCGACAGACCGACAGACGGACATGCACCTGAGTCTGCTGCCCTGAGCAGCTGCGGTCATTTAGAGGAACACTGCTGGGACCTTACACAGACGTGTTGCTTACACGGCCCCAGCCTTGCTGAAAAGAAAACTCGTCGCCTAAGAAATTTTCGGAGGCCCAGCGTCGTAGATAAATCCAATCGGCGACGGGCAGCCTCCGAAAGGGCCCGCGGCCGATAGCTGGATGTACTGGTGGTTTAACTTAGGCTTCCCAAGGATGTTCCCATGCTGGATGTTGAACTCTGTTCATTTCCCAAAAACAACAGAAAAATTAAAAGAAAATCATATTAAAAAAAAAAAGGAGTACTGAATCTACTGATTTAGAATTTAAGAAGAGAATTCAAGAAATAAAATAATAATAATAATAATGTGATGAGAACTGTTACAATGAAATACTGGCCAGATGCACTTGGGAAGCTTGCGCAAAGCTTCCCAGGCAGCCTACCTACGTAGCAACCCCTCTGCCTGCTCCTCCAATCCATCATCTTTAACCAGCAAAAAAAGCACAGGCCACGGTGCTAATACCTTTCCCACTGGGGCATGCGCCGTGTGACACCCTCTGTACAGCTGTCTGTCTAGTCAATGCTGCGAGCCTTGCTCATCGGAGATTTCCAACGTTTCCGGCATTTCTAGCACTTCTCAGGTCGTCTGTACACATGCATATCTATATACGATGAGCTGGTGAAAGTTCGACGAAACATCGGTTATAGCCGCTTCGTTTGTTGTCCTCTTCGTCCTCCTCGACTTCCGTTCACCAACATGACGATATGTACATATGTCATAGTCATATATTATTATCATTTAGCAATAATAGTATACTATATACACTACAGATCTGGGTTGAAGGAACTAATCTGGAAATCAATCATTTGACGCGCTCATCAACAAGGAGTGGACCTGCAGCAATGTGGAATCCGTCCCTACATTGTCGTTACCCTGCATATTCCCCTTTCGAAGAGCACAGGGTTCTGCCTCCCCTTTGCACTGTCCCAAAGACAATCTTCCCTGCAAAACCCCACATAGAGCCAGACTGATATAGGAGAACCTGCAGAGTCTGCTACAGGAGAAACCACAGAGTGTGGTCCTATAGGAGCCTGCGCTAAAGGACTCTGCGAGTATAGGCAGGCTACTACAGGACCCCGCAGAGTCTGCTCCGTTGCACTGCGACATTCTCACCGAAATTTGTCTGACAGAGTTAAGAGTTGAGTCCGAGGAGAAGGCAGAGGAGGAGGGAAAGGACAAGGAGGAGGAGGAGGAGGAGGGAGAGGAGGGAGAGGAGGGAGAGGAGGGAGAGGAGGAGGAGGAGAACAATCTTTTGCAGTTCTTTCCATCCCACTTGCTTTGCAATGCTACTATCTTGCAACGACCTCCGTCAACATCTCAATAACCGTGATTGACAACTCATGCTCATCATAGCGAGTGTCTTCCAAATCTTCACCGGCCTCTGCTATTCTCGTTTGCAGTACGGCACAGCCACCGTATCCATCAGCTTCTGCTGATGCGTTCATGTGCAGACTCTCCCGCGATCCATTGGCGCTCGCTCCACACTCTGTGGGCCTTACAGAATATCCTCCTCCGGGCATGCAAGGAGACGTGGATTGGGAGGACCCCTGCTCTTGTGTGCAGGAGAAATCAGTAGCAGATAACCGTCTTGCCGGGAGCAACGTCCTGTTAGTCGAAGTTGCCTGAGAGGCCCAGGCCATCCACTGAGGGCTTGCCTGGAGGCTCACCTCGTGTGGTGGTCCGCCGGTATCCATGGCGAACGAGGGGGAGCAATGGGAACCAGAGGTCGTGTCATCCATGCTTCCATGCTTCAGCACGGAGTTTCTGATTTTCTCGAGGGTCGACCATACCTTGATCATGGCCGGGCGCGTTCCACTGCCGTCCGTGCATCGAAGAGCGAGTTCTACGTATTCTTCCATCGCCTGAGGCTCATACCTCCCTCTCAGACGTGGATCGACGAGTGCCATCGTTCGACCCTCATCGCGGTACCGCTTCATCTCGGTGATGATATGCTTCCCTCTCCAAGTTGGACTCTTCGCGGTCACAATCTCGAGAAGAACCACACCGAAACTATACACATCCAGTTTCTCCGACACCTCTCCGTTTGCATGAGGGTCCATGTAGCCCGGCGTACCCCACACGGAGGCCTCAGTCGCCTCGGCCCCGACGGTTGCTGATGTGCAGAGGGCGAAATCTGCCACTTTTGCCACAAGGTTCTCGTTCAGGAGAATGTTCGACGACTTGATGTCGTGATGGATGATCGGAGGATGAACATGCGCATGCAGGTAGGTTATCCCGCCGGCGGCGCCAATCGCGATGTTGAGACGCTGAAGCCAGTCGAGAGGGGGCTCGCGCTTCCGTGAGAGATTGTGACGCAAGGTTCCCTTTGCCATGTACTCGTGGACGAGTATCCTCTCACCCGCCTCGTTGCAGTAACCCAGTAGTTTAACTAGGTTCTGGTGATGCACATTTGACAGCAGTTCTACTTCGGCCATGAACTGAGCACTGTTTCTCGGAGATTGAGGCTTTTCCCTCTTCACAGCCACCCTTACCCCGTCAGGCAGGCATGCCTTATACACCGCACCCAACCCGCCGATACCCAACAACCGGTGTGCGCTAAAGTCATCCGTCCATCGTAGCACGTCACCAAGCTTAAACTTTTGCGGCTTATGGCCGGCCGGAAACAGGCTCTGCTCCACTCTCCCAGGCCCACCACCTCCACCACCTTCTTCCACGACATTGGCAACCGCCTGTCTGCCGGCCGACTTGGCACGCCCTCGGGTGCGCCAGAAAGGAACGAGGCACATCCCAATCGTTCACCTATGATCTCAAGCTGTCAACAAACAAATGCATACGGTGCATCGAGCCAATCAGTCGATTGGCCGATGCATGCACTGACACCTAATCAGACTGACCAACAACCTCCCTCAGAGTCCCTCCCTCCCTCCTCTACCGTCTCGTCTTCTCTCTCTTCCTTCCCTTCCTCCTCTATCTGATCAGTTTCTCCCTCAGTCCTTCTCCCGTTGTTTCCTTGCCCCCCTCTGCTCTTTTGCCGCCTTCACCAACACCTTCAGTCTCTCTTATAACGAGCTGCTATGCGGATATGAGCGGCGCCACACATGCTGCGTACATGTGTCTGTTTGACTGCTCGAACCAATTTGAAAGCAAGCGAAGCGCCACACATGGATGAAAGTTGCTGTATCGGATCATCACACATCAAATGCGCCACCGACCGACAACGGCGATGGATTTCCCATTGTGTTAGTTATATAGGAATCCCACTACCGGACGATGGACCGGACTCTAGTCAATTAACTTGAAAGTACTACCCTATCCGATTTTGATCACACAATATATATCGTCAAATAGAACTGCCCGGTAAACCGTAGGCAGAGAGGGAGAAGAGGACAACAAACGAGGGGCTGTGACAAACTGTTATATATAATAAATTAATAATATATTAATAAACGAGCAAGTGCAACGAGGCAAAATTGTATATCTATTTAAATATTATAAAAGTACTATTCACCTATCACAGGCTATCAGATCATTCCAATACGTGGATACTGGATATTATTATTATCACCGTATCCGATCACGACCTCCGTCCACGTTCAGTCAAGATAACTGCGATGTAGTCACATCCCGTACGGCTGTTCATGATGCCAAGGCACAGAAAGAGATGGGATACAAAATGGACTCGGAAGAAAAAAATACAAACAACACAAAGACGGCACCTTTAGTTAAGTTTAATTATTTAATACTTATTTATTTTTATTTTATGTTCTTAGAAAGAAACCATCCTCTTTAGCGAGGAAGGAAGAGCATGGATTTTAAAGTAAACTTACTTTTAAGTTTTAACTTGTGCAATGATAACAAATCATGCTATTAGCACCGTAATACCGTAATAGCACCAACTGGCCTACCTCAGTTAGCACACCCATGAGCTATTGAAAGTTGAAACACAGACCTGAGTTCGAGTCCCATCCCGATGGAAATAGATGAGCAAAAAATTACTAAACATAAATTTAAATAATTCTACATTTAATTACTTACCTGGATCAGGTCACTTCAAATTTGATATCTCAAGGCTGTCGCCATTTTGAAAAAAATTAAAAAAAAAATCCAAAAAAAACTTAAAAAAAAGTAAAATGTACACAGGAATAGCAAACACATTCCCTTGAAACTCTGCTGCCTCCGCCCGTCTCTGCTTTCCGCGGAGACAAGAAGGACCGGTACAGATGGTGCCAATGGGCACCACTGTCCCAGGTGATGATCCAATGGTCCCCAAGTGGCCATCTTTTTTTTTTTTTTTTTTTTTTTTTAATCGATAGTGCCCTGGAGTCCATAGAGTGAAAGCATGCTGAGGAGAAATGCCGGGGGCCAAGTACCACTATTAGCAATGAGTTTCCTAAGGCCTGAATATGGACGTGTTTGTGGAGATGTGCGGCTGAGGTAACTCGACACAATTTTTCTGCATATTTCCTCAAACATGTCCAGATTCGAGCGTTAAGGAAACTCAAAGCTGCTAGTGGGACTTGGCCCCAGATGTACTGGACACCCAGCAGAAAATCAAGATAGATTTTTCGCTAAGTCGTATTTCACACCCACACACCCACCCACACACACACACACACACACACAAACATGCTAGATTTTTCGCCAAGTCCTATTTCATATTTCACACCCACACACCCACACACCCACACACCCACCCACCCACACACACACACACACAAACACGCACACACACCCACACACCCACCCACAACCACACACACACAAACACACACCATACTTGCAAGCAGACGGACCGGACGAGCGTCCGGTCCGGTCCGCTTTGCCGCGTGCGGCACCCTCCCCCCGGACCAGACAGACCCGGACCGGACCAAACAGGGCCTTTTTTTTTTTTTTTTTGGGGTGGGGAGTAACTGGGTTCGTGCGCCCGCGGGTCCGGTCCGGCGGTCTGCCGCACGTGCGGAACCACCCGGACGGCGTCCGCTATGACACACACGCACACACGCTG